TTCAATAAAATGATTGTAGTCCTCGCATCTACCCAGCTTAATTTCGAGCCACTTTATACCTTTGAATCAACGAGAGTAAAGATAATTTAATTTCTTAATGCCAGTTTCGTTTTATGGATGGGTTATTTACTGTCACTAAATGATAAGAATGTAAAAGGCACATAAAATTTTATGTAGTAGATATATGCTTATACGTGATTAAATGATTATGATAGCAACAAAAACATACTTAAGTTTTAAATATTTTATACATAACTTTCTATTTAAGCAAAATTTCGATGGTTACTTTTTAAAACAATAAGGAAAGTTCAATATTATAATTTTAGCGTTTGTAATATTAAAAACGTCTTTAGCACTTTAATGTTGCATTAGTATTAGAAACCAGTGTGAATAAATGAAGTGAATTCTCAATAAGGCATTATAGTGAGTTTCAATAAAGCACTTACGGATATGTAGGTAAGGGAACAAAAGTCATTTTCTGTAGAAAATAAACCGTATTCATCTTATGCAGTGCAAATCAGAAAATCCTATATTCTACTCTTAATGAAATCGCTTGAGTTGATGCACAACGAATACTTATGTTTTCCATCAGTTTTGACACAATAAGGCGTCTCAAGTTTTTTTTTTTTTTTTTTTTTTTTTTTTTTTTTATGTTCTTTCTGTCAACTAACATAAGATATTTATTACGTGCCTAACTGATCATGTGCTAGTTGATAGTGACATGCATTACTTTGCAGTTATGAGAACTGCTTTAAGAGTAGTGTTGCAGTGTGAAGATATTTAACATCATTTGTTTCTTTTTAAACGTATTCGTAGAGTTGGGTATAATGCATCTTACACTCATTGCACATAAAGAAAGATACACAAACGTACAATAGGCAGCCCTTTCAGCGATTAGTTTATGAAGCAGGGAATAATTATCATTGTGCTCTTTTTAACCAAACTGAGAGCTATAGTGCCGACAAATTTTAAATATACTCTTTTTACACTGAAAACGGTAAGACGAACAAAACACATGTATCTTGAAATTTTTACAGTTATTTTTAAGTGAAATATCTATATAAATTCAAAAAATAGGAACTTCCATTTCTTTAAAAAAGCTTGCTTTTCTGGCATATTTTATTGACATAAAAAAATTGACAGTATTAATTGCACTTCAATCGAACTTGGAAATAAATGGATGTGATCTTAACAAAATGATCTCTTAATGTTTCATTGAAGATTGTAAAGTACAAAAATGATAGTATGTGATTTTTATGTCAGGTTCACATATATCACGAGATAAATGTTGCTGTATATGTCATTGCCTTTTCTATAAGATTGCCTCAATGAAATGCTTACGCTTTACTTTTCTGAAAAATGGATTTATCGATGTCTCAAATAAAAATAAATAGTGATTTCTTCTTTTTCGCTAACATATGTCAGAGCATCAATTTTTTTATCCTAGATATGTCATTATTAGAAACAATAAAATGCCATGTCTGTAAACAGTCTTCGAAGTTTCTCTGTCATTTCAGATTGGTTTTCTTCATTTTTCCCTCATTTTTTCTTCTTTTCAGTTTTTACTGATAGTGAAGTTTTAAAAAAGCTTTTAATAAAATTATATTTTCTAAAACTGATAAAAAATAAAAGCAATCTGGGATATTTTTTTTTTTGTTTTACAATGAAATTTAAATAATTTTTAAAGCTTAATTAGTTGTTTCTTTGAATATGATGACATATATTTCTTTACCAGTGTAAACTTTATCGCATTTTGAATTATTTATTTTAAGCAATGATGCAGGAAATAATCCTAACATTAGGTCCAATATTCTATTTCGAGGCAATATGAATTTGAAATTCTTACAGTAAATATTTTATACACATTTTATGTACCTTTTAATTTTGTTAGTTGCACTATAAATTCATGTTTCTCGCGGATGCACTATTATGAATACGTCTGAGCTACGTTATCATGCAAAATACTAGAATTTATATGCAGCATCGTATCGATCCCTCTCTCCCCAAAAAAGTTTGGAAATACCTAAATAAATAAATACATAAATACATTTTTCGTTCTGAAAACTCTGGGCAGAAGTCTAATATTTCAAAAATAAAATAGAAAAAAATAGTATTTACTGTTGGCAACTGGTACATCTAAATATGTATTATTAAATAAAACTAAATGATTTCGAAAGTTTCTGGGCTTTATTTCTACATTTGTTTTCTGAACTTAAGTTTCAAAAATAAATTACCACACGAAATACATTTACATTTGAATAAAGTGAAATATAAATATATACTTATAAATCTATTTCAAAATTGCATTTTATTATTACCATTTCCTAGTATTTAACGCACATGATAAAGCACACAAAACTAAGTTAGAAATTTAAAATTATATGGAGTTAGAAATATATAATGCGATACACTAGAGGTAAAATCTACCAGTTTATGGAAAACATTATTAAGAAATCCTTATACGATAAACTTTTTGAAGATTCATTTTGTTATACTGATTGGCGCTTGAACCACAAGAAAGCAACTTCATTGTTCAAGGAATTAAAATGTATTCTTGCAAATACATTTTATTTTGAATCTAAATTCAGCTATTGATATATGAGATCAGATATTTATCAGATATTTCTGAATAAATAAACTACTTTTGCTTGAGATAATAATGAGAAACAAAATCCGATGTGTATACCACATGACTTCCTTGTACGGAATATTAAATTATACGTATTTTTTCCTGCATTTCATTTAAATTTATTGAATTAAATCTACTTCGTCCATAGCGCATAAACCACACTAGAATAAATGCGCTTTTTAAAATTCACTGCATTTGTTTACCATAGCGATACTCTGGCTCTAGATTCATTTAACAGCGTTACATAACATTTAATTTATAACTCAGAATGCAAAAAAAAAATCTATCATCTGAAGACTTATCTAATCGTTGCGACATGTTCTATTCAAATACTATAATAAATATAAAACGATGGATAAAAGAAATTAAAGAAATAAAAAAAAACAGTTTCTCACAGACGATTCAGCACTGCTTACCTAATGCGCATGCGCTACTCGTAAGCATTCTCCTCTGTCCGAAACAGAGTGGCGACAGTATTTTCTGCTAATATGGAACACTTATTCTCTCGAATTTCATTGGAAATGTATTTTTCATTCAATTAATTCAGTTCTCACTTCGCGGCAAGGTTAAAAAATAATAAAAACACAAAAAACCGTCATTAAAAATTTAAAGATATAGAAAAACATAAATCACCTAATACAGTTAAAAAAAAAAAAAAATTACAGTTTCTACGCAAAAACAAGCTATTCGGCCAGCGGGCCAGAAGATAGATTTTTCCGTGCACAAAACTGAAAGTTTACTTTTGGTCTCACACGGCAAAGGCTGGTTCAACACTTACGATGTCAGTAACAGATAGTTTCTGTAACACATCATCAATCAGCAGATAGCAGAGTATGAACGAAATTACTCAGGTTTACATGTTCTACTTTATTTAATGTATGGCGATAGTTAATGATACAGGAAGTTAACCACTCAATTTAGCATGATACCAATTATCAGATAGTCAAACAATTTATTAATTAGTCAATTAAACATAATAATAGACAACAGATAATGAATTATTGAACTAATTAGTCATAAAACACAATATCAATTAAGTGTTTGATAGACAATGAACAAATTATTGAAATGTATAGCCAATAGTTTTCATTATTTCTATATATAAGACATATTACTTCCCATATATCAATATTTTAACAATATTAAAAAAATTACTTATTTAATTTAAACTATTGTAATAAAATTTGGAAAATGTAGTAGAAAATAGAAAAGTGTGACAATTAGACATATGCACCCCTAGGACTTCCAGGTGCTTTATAAGAACTTCCTGTTTTGTTCAGAGACAAAATGGACACCATAACTTTGAAGAAATGTGCAGCGGAAACCCCCTCGTATGGTTTCCGGCAACAAGAGGCTAATTATTCTCTTTCCAGGTTTCTTAACAAAACGAAGAGAGAGCTTTGTGTAACTAAGTTTTGATGCTGTAAACGAGAGTAAGCGGACGCTTTTTGTCGTCGTCCTCGCCGCGCCAGTGACGTTTGTTTAATTTATGGCTGTAATGATTCAGTTATTTTACTATTTAATCAAGAATTTCTAATTAAGTTTTTAAAATAAATATTTTTATATATTTATAATACAGTAGACGTTCGTTTTTACGAACCTCTTTTTTACGAACACTCTCGATTTGACGAACTAGCGAATGGTCCCGAATACACTCCCATAGATGTAATGTAATTTTGCGCTCTTATTTACGAACTACAAATCAGGAAAATCTCTTTTTTGCGAACTCAGTTTTCATACTTCTTCGTGTTTCATTGGGATAAAGTGTGAAGGTCAAATAAAATCTCCAACTATTTTGAGGCAGCAAGTGCGAAACATTCGAAGAAGTACAGTAAGGAAGGAGGGGCGGAGGGGGCGGAGAAGAGGGGGAATTAGGACAAATTTATGGTGTTGTTTGTTGTGGGAGGCTCTCAGAAGAGCATCGGCCTGATGTTGTTGGGTGGGGGTGAGACCATTCGTGTTAAAGGGGTTTGGGTTGCTTCTAAAAGAGAGTTGTTGCTTTTTGTAATGTCATAGTCATTTGATCTGGACAACTCAATCAGTGAAGTCTCGTTAGTCGAGAGGGAGATTGGGCCAGTTTTGGTTAAGTAAGATTCTTAGAGCTATGTCGCAAATGAAGAAACGAATTTGTTTAGCGGTTGAAATAAAGAAGAAGATTTTAAAAGAAGTTGACGAAAAAATATTAAGCAAGACACAAATTGCTCAGAAATATGGAATTCCTAAAAATAGTTTATCGACGATTTTAAAGGCAAGAGAGAAGATCTTTGGAGCTAAAAACGGAAACGATGAATGTGGACCCTCCTCTCGAAAATATTTTCGAGAATCAAAACACCCAAATTTGGAAAGGGCTTTGCTTGTTTGGTTTCGAAAGATGAGAAGCTTAAACATTCCAATTGATGGAAATGTACTTAAAGAACAAGCACACTTTTTTGCTTCCAAATTAAACATCAAAGATTTTAAAGCATCGGATGGTTGGTTACAGAAATTTAAATTTCGGAATGGTTTGAGTTTCCGGAAAGTGTGTGGTGAAAGTGCAGCAGTAGACACGTCATCAGCAAATGAATGGAAAGAAGAAAAGTTGAAATTGCTTCTTTCTGAATACGCTGCAGATGACGTTTTTAATGCGGACGAAACGGCTTTGTTTTTTAAGATTTTGCCAGAAAGAACATTAGCTTACAAAGGAGATAAATGTGTTGGAGGTAATAAAGCTAAAGAGAGACTTACAGTTTTGATTGCAGCCAACATGACTGGGTCACAAAAATTGCCTCTGCTCTTTATTGGAAAATATCTGAAACCAAGGTGTTTTTTAAAAAATGTTCAGAAGATTCCTGCTGCATATTATGCTAATAATAAGGCCTGGATGACTGGCAACATCTACGAAAAATGGTTGAGAGATTTAGATAACCGTTTTTCAGCAGAGAAGCGCAAAGTTCTCCTAATCGTGGACAATTGTACTGCACACATGGAAGTCACTGGGCTTCAGGCAATCCGTGTGGAATATCTCCCACCAAATGCAACTGCAGTTTTACAGCCAATGGATCAGGGGATAATCAATAGTTTCAAGCGAAAATATAAGACAGTGCTCTTGCAAAGAGTAATCCTTGGCTTGGAAAGGGAACAACCTTATCAGATTGATATTCTTGGTGCAATGCATTTATCAATCAGTGCATGGAATGATGTTTTTAGATGAAACAATTTCTAAAGCCTTTCGACATGCAGGTTTTATTAAAGAAACAACGACGTAACTGAAGAAATCCATGACAATAGATCTCACGACGAAGATGAGGTTCTCATGCATGAACTTCGCCGTAGAAATCCACAGTTGCCAGAACTTTCATTCGAGGATTTTTTAAATGTGGATTCTAATGTCATCTGCACGGAAGGAAATATCGGATCACGATATTATTAGCAGCATAATCAACGAGAATGAGAGACTTTCAGATCCAGAAGAAGAAGAGAAGAAGAAGAAAATGAAGTAACACCAAGACCGACTTTTAAAACAAGCTGCTGAATACTTGTCAGAACTTAGACGATTTTTTGAGGCCAGTGATAATTGTGAAATGCTAACAAATATAGAGAAGATGGAGTCTTGCATTGTACAATCTGTTGTTTTAAAACAGACAAAGATAAGTGATTATTTTGTTGCTGAATGACTTAATAAAGGTACGTTTAAAAAATATTTTATATTTCTTGTTTGTTTAATAGAATGGATATCATTTATTAAGTAGTAATACTATAAAAAATAATTCCTAATACATAAATAAAAGCATGGAATAGTATCACTAACCTGTCTCGAAAACATTAATATGTGAAATACTAACAATTTCCGATGCCTTTCTAAATTACGAACTCTCGATTTAACGAACTGTTTTCGTAGTCCCTACGAGTTCGTAAAAACGAGAGTCTACTGTATTTTATATTTTAAATATTTAAAATAAATAAATGTTTTAAAAGACAACCTGTCTTTTCTTGCACCCAACACGGGTGTGCTGACGTTACAGCTTTATTAAAATGGTGGCAGCGGTTCAGATGAGAAAATCCATGCAGAGATTGCAGTCCACCAGGCTCTGAAATTTATCTCAAGTTTGTAGGACAGCCATTGCCCGAACATCAGTGTTTTGCAGATATTACAGACCGCCAGGTTCTGAAGTGCAGCATGAAAAGTTACGAACATCAGTTCAGAAAAGTGATTTACAGCTCTTCGAAGCAGGGAGATAGAATCCAAGAAAAAGTTTACGGACAACAGTCCAGATAAAAAGGAACGACAGTCTCCTGAATACAGCTCATCTTCAGCAGCATAAATTGTGCGATCATGTTGTGTTCGAGAAAAATTAGTACAGAAGTGTGCGGACAAGCCTTGTCCGAAGATCATCAGATCATTGTGAATGTATAGTGTAGTGGAAAAGTGATACGTGTGTGATCATCGTTGTGCCTGAGAAATCAGTGAAGTGTATGGTGATCAGTGCTGTGTATTCTTGCCGAAGATTGTCAGATGTGTTGTGATATAAGTGTAGTGTAGTGTAGTCTTCAGATGTCCATACAATATGATCTTAAGTTTCTGACAAATATCGATATAAGCTTCTGACAAGCATATCGATATGTTTCCAAGCAGGTCAACCTGATATCAAGTGCCTACAATTCCAGACGGGTAAGTACCTTGGATTTTTATATTGAGGCTGTAAAGTAATTTAATTTATTTCTGTAATTTAGTATATAAGTTCACATAACTGTTTTGAGTCAACTTTGTTTTCTGCAAAGTTTAAAGAAATGTGCGGTTTGGGTTTTATATTCCAATAAGAAGTATAAATTTTAGAATTTAAATCTGCGTTAATAGATTTTTTGATATCTGAAAAATTAATGTGTTGTGTTCAAATTAAGCTTATATAATTGAATGTGTAAAGGAGAAGAATTACTGTAACTTTGAAGGTTCTAAAGATAGGTGGTATTCTGACATTCATTTCTAAGACGTCTTGAATATTATAAATATTAGAATTTTCAGTTAAGGTGTGTCAAACATTATTGGTGTGAGAATGGAAAAAGTTTTTTCTGTTCAATGAGTAAAAGGGGAATGCTAGAAATCCCCAGTATTTTTCATTTTAACGGTTGTCATATTAATGTTTAGTTATGAGCATGTAGATATATGTTTTTATAATTAACATTTGAATGCATATTTTAATATACCTCAAATTTTGATGAAAGTATATTGTATTATCATAAGCAATTGAGTTTAACGCAACTGAATTTAAAGCATTTAAGAGGTAATATTATCTGTAGTATCATAAGTCCTCAAGTAGACAAATTTGTTTTTTGAACGCATAATGTGCATATTATGGTGTAAAATGTTTTGCATTTGTGTTTAGATCTATAGAATATGTTGTGAAAAAAAATTAAGGGTTAAATTTTACTCTCTCTTTGTGAAAATGGTATTTGTTTAAATCAATTTTATATATATGTAGTGTCAGGGAGCTAACATTGTTAGTTGTTATCATAATTTTGTTTTATATAATGGCATTGTTAGAAAAGAGGATCTTAAATTCTTGGGTGAAGAGTTAGGGGAAAAAGTTAACCCTGAACTTAGGATATTGGATTTAAGACAGCTGATTATGGGAAATGAATCCTATGAGGAGGAACTAGTGAAAGGCCTCTTAGAAAATAGCACTTCAACGAGGCTTGAGAAAGAAAAAAGTGAGCACGAAAGAATTAGGAGATAAGAAGAAGAGAGGTAGGAAGGAGATAAGAAGAAGAGAGGCAGGAAGGAGATAAGAAGAAGAGAGGCAGGAAAGACTTAGGAGAGAAGAAGAAGAAAGGCAAGAAAGAATTGCAGAGAGGCAAGATAGAATTATGAGAGAAGAAATGGAATTTGAATTATCGAAGTTAAGATTACTAGCCGCTAACGGAATTGACTCTGTAACTGGCGGGAATGCAGAAAATGGACTTAAGAAAAGCCGTTACGATCTTAAAAAAATGATTCCAAAATTTGATCCGGAAGAGAACGACATAAGTTTGTATCTAGTCATGTTTGAGCGCCAAGCAAAACGTGCGAATTTTCACCAATCAGATGGGTTTCGGTTTTATTGACAATTTTGCCAAAGGACATAGTTCAGCTGATTATGCGAGAACCAGAGCAGCAGGCTTATGACTACGATTACGTAAAGAGGATATTGCTTAAAAGGTTTAAGCTTAGTCCAGAAAAATTTCGTATCAAATTTACGGAATCTCAGAAAAACACTCGAACCACTCGGAGAGATTTTGCCTTTGAATTAAGGAATTATTTTGAAGAATGGATTGCAGGTTTGGAAGTTACCGATTTCCAACTTTTAAAGGATCTCATGATAACGGACCAAATGAAGCGTCGTGTAAATGTCGAAGTGCGGGAGCATTTTATTGACGAATGGTCGAAGATGACGACTCCAGATAAATTAGCAGAAATGCTAGAAAAGTATGAAAACGTACGTGAAACCCGGAAGAAGGTATCTCCTGTTCATAGTTCTGAGTCACAACGGGGAAATAAAAATCATTTAAATTCAAGCGATCCGCAAAAGTATCAGCAGTGTGGAGAGGAAGATAGATATGCCTCTGACAGAAAGGAACATCTCCGGAATCAGAATGAGCATCAATTTGATATGAGAAGACCACTTAAGTGTTATTCTTGTGGTATATCGAATAAAGAAATATCTCACTCCTTCGATGCTGACGGGCGAGACTGTTTGGGTAAAACATCCTTTTGATGAGGTCCCAATTTTTTTACCCTTAGCAAACGTTACAATAGAGGGAACTTTTGGCCAAGTAACAACAAAAACAGTGGTCATTCGAAATGAATTGGAGCATTATCTGTTAGAAAACAGAGCCGCCGAAAAATTAGCAGTAGATCAAACGATAAACTTCTCTTTCAGGCGAAAACAGGTACTCGAGCTCCGAGTCAATCAAAGAATGAAATGGAGAAAAGTCCGGTGGAGTCTGAACGCGGCGAACTAAAACCCTCAAGCGAAGATTCTCCCCCCATTATTGAAAGCTTGGAGGTAGGAAAGGAGACTTACTTCCTACCTCCATGATTGAAAGAGGTGAAGTTTCGTCCCCAACAAAAGGGATGAAGGAGGCCAATTTCGCCCTGCCTGAAACCGAGGTGAACGATCTGACACTACTTAATAGACAAGACGCGGTTGTCTGATCTACAAAAGAAAAGTGACGTTGTAAAACCATCTTTTGACTTATTAGCGCTACACGATCACAGTAACCCTTTGGGAAATGTGAACAAGTTAAGTTCTTTTTCGGCTCGGCACGAAAAAGAAACTGTTGTTAAGCTAAATGGCGTTTCGTACCAGACTCGGAAGGTTTGCAAATGCCTAAAAACTCCGTAGGAGAATTGCCCAAGACACCGAAGAGTGTAAATTTACCAAGGAAAGTAGAATCCCAGTTCCTCAATTATCTATACTGGTGCATGGTACTGAAGGGTCAAAGGGGATAAATATAGCTACTTCATAAATGATGTAAATGGTAGTTTTTTCTGATCTGAAAGCGAACTTGAAGTACATGTTTATTTTGAAGTCAAATGTAGTAGTTCTCATCCAGGTGTTGGGTTATCATTGATAGTTTATCACAAACGGAAAATTAAAAATCTGCAAGGTTTCCCTTTTCAGCCTGGCTAAAAACATAATTAATGTTAAAGTTGGAATGTATATTGTATATTACATTTTTCAGAAAATTATACGTTCTTTATTTGTATATGTATAATTAAGTTTATTTCTCAGTATTATGTTGATTATATGTTCTTTTTTTTTACTGTCCTCGGTATAGTTCTTGTTATGTTTATCCTTGGTACTTAGCACACGTTGTGAGAAAAAAAAAAGAAGCATTAGTGCTAATAACTATTAGTTAGTTTTATTATTAAGACTTGCTGTGGTAAGGTACTAGGAATTGGAGTTCTGAAACCCCCCCACCCCCCGGGGAGGGTAGGAGTTGTTACGATTAGATATATGCACCCCTCGGACTTCCAGGTGCTTAATGAGAACTTCCTGTTTTATTCAGAGACAAAATGGACAGCAGAACTTTGAAGAAATGTGCAGCGGAAACCCCCTCGTGTTGTTTCCGGCAATAAGGGACTAATTATTCTCTTTCCAGGTTTCTTAACAAAACGAAGAGAGAGCTTTGTGTAACTAAGTTTTGATGCTGTAAGCGAGAGGAAGCGGACGC